ACTTTGCTTCCACACAGGATGGTATGATTCATAAAATAAAGCTCTTATGCCTTAATTATCCTTTCCAGGAATAAACCCTATTTCCTGAAGGTGTAAGTCCTATTGTAAACAAGCTAGGTTCTCCTACATTTGACTGTTATCTTGTGTAGCCATATTAAATGCCACAAAATGCTTTAGAATGGGAGAATAAAGCAAAGAAAGAGAAGGAGGAGGAGAGAAGAGATGGCAGAGTAGCACCTGGTGGGACCCCTCAAAGAGAATGTCTCTGGCACCCAGATATCCACTGGGGCTCTGGGGCGGAAGGCAGAGCAGGTGGCTGAACGTTTTTTATTGAACTGACCATCCCCGTAGCAGTCTGTTCTGAGCAATCAAAGACTTCTCTCCAGTGCCGAAGGATGAAGGGCCTACCTCAGAGCTGCTGTCTCCTTCCCTCCTCACCTCCCTCTTGGTCAAAACTTATTTGGACAACTGGATAACTTAATTAACTCAGTAGAAATAACGAGCGCAGCAGTGGCCTGCTTGATGCCCAGTCCTTCCTTTTTTCCCTCTGTAGTAGCAGCATTTTTATTTTCCTTTGGAGTAGGGAGACAGGTGACCAAGAATCCTGCTTACCTACATTTCTCCCATCTGAGACCTCACAGCTGGCTTACAGGAAAGAGTCCAAACTCTTTGGCATGGGATACAACCAGGCAGTATAATCAAAGTGGTGTTTTGGGACTAATACGTTGGCATCAGAAAGTAAAGGCAAGGAGTAAACTAGCAGCCAATTAGAACAGCTTGGCAGGATATGGGCCAGCCTCACCCAGGAAGACATTGTGCCAGGACAATTATTTAGAGAGAATTTGGCCAAAGAATATAGTACACCGAGAGCCTATTAGGAGCCAAGCCTTGTACTAAGTGCTTTACATACGTTATCTCATTTGTGACAAAAGTACTTCCCTGAGAGCACCCGTGCTTTTCTGCTGTGGCACTTTTCACAGCCAGTAACTATATACTTATTTGTGTAGTTAGTTGTCTGGACATCTGGGTCCACCCTGTAAGTTTCCAGCTATGTGCCTGGTGCGTAGTAGATGCTTGAAAATTTTGTTGAATGAATAAATGACTGTGTCTTAGTTACAACTTGTGGAACATAGATTTGTGAGAAGAAACCTCATGGAATTCTAGGAAAACCTGAAAAACTAGTATTCAGGAAGGGGGTGCTAAGCAGGGCAGTTCTGGGAACCTCTACAGCTCAACCTTCACTTGAGAATTCGCCATTAATATTACAGCTGCCAATGCTTCTGCACTATGGCTCTCAGTTTAAATTCTTGAGGGGTAGATTCTGATTGGCCCAGCTTCAGTCAGGTGTCCACAAATGATCCAATCAGCTATGACCAAAAGGGCAGAGTCACATAGTAGGAACTGTCTGCAGGATGTGCCTTACAGAGATGTGTGTTGGATGTTTCCTTTAGGTATGAGTTATAGTACTGTTGGCTATGAGTTCAATATTAATGAATCAACAGTATACGTTAAATAAGGTGTCTTTGAATAGAAATACACATAAAACCAGGTTATGTGTTGATTGGTTGACAAAAATATTGTGACTAGAGACTAGCAGGGAACTAACCCTTTATTTTTCCTAGGAGCAATGGTTCAATATTTGCTAATTCAATATAACTACTGAAACAAATGAGAATCAACTGTCGTTGGAAATTTATACTTCTGTCAGCAATGTATGAGTTTCCAATGAGCCACATTCTTGAAAATATATATTAATTTTTAAATGTTTTTTAAACAAATTAAAAAATTTTGCCCATCTGGTAGTAATAATATATATATGGTGATATGATAATAATATATATGGTGATGATTTTTCCCAATCTATGACTTGCCTATTCATTTTTTCTAAATTGAAGTATAGTTGATCTACAATGTTGTGTTAGTTTCAGGTGTACAGCAAAGTGATTCAGAAATATCTTTTTCAGATTATTTTCCCTTAGAGGTTATTACAAAATATTGAGTATAGTTCCCTGTGCTATACAGTAGTGTGTGTATATTAATCCCAAACTCCTAATGCCTATTCATTTTTTAAATTTTTATTTATTTATTTATTTTTTTGCGGTACGCGGGCCTCTCATTGTTGCGGCCTCTCCCGTTGTGGAGCACAGGCTCCGGATGCGCAGGCTCAGTGGCCATGGCTCACGGGCCCATCCTCTCCGTACAGCACGTGGGATCTTCCCTGACCGGGGCACGAACCCGCATCCTCTGCAGCGGCAGGCGGACTCTCAACCACTGTGCCACCAGGGAAGCCCTGCCTATTCACTTTTATTAACTACATGTATGATTCTCTTCCTCCTCCCCCTCCCCCTCCTTCTCCTCCCATTCTTCCTCCTTCTTCTTCTTCTGCTTTTTCTTCAAGAAGGTCTAGGATCTCCTAAGTCCTTCACATTTTCATATATGTTTTAGAATAAACTTGTCAATTTTCACTAAAAATTCTTATGGGATCATAATTGTCATTGTGTTGAATCTATAGTTCAATGTGGAGAAAATTATCATCGTAACAATTTTGATACCTCATTTTTAAACAACAAAAGAACCCTGTGGAGTTTGGTGTGCATAACAACAATAAAAAGTAAACATTTCAGTCACTGTGATGTTTTTCCATTGAAAACTAGCTCACATCTACTCTCTTCCTCGTGTAGGAAATGTTCCCATCTTAAATGTACAAACAATATAGAGCCTCTCTTTACCCTCCTATTTGTTCTGAAAAGAATTTCCTTTTTCTTCACTGACTACATTGTTTGCCCATTAGAAAACCAAAAGAGAAAAAGCCAAACAGGAAAATAATTAAAAGAACAATTACTGCATGTTTTTGTATGAATATTATAGGTTAAGACTGAGAAAGTAATTTTTCTCTTAAATAGGTATTTTAGATTTGTTACTGCAAAAGACACCCCAAATCTTACTCATTCAGTAATATCAATTTCCTGCAACATTCCCTGGCATTCTGAAGGAATTTCTAAATAAGCATTATTGTTTTCTTTTACAAACATACGTCTAATGATAGCAATTATTCTCTTATGAGGCTGCTATAAAACAGGAACTAGAGGGTATAGAAATTAGGGGCTGCACATGAGTCACTTCCTATAAGTTTCTATACTCCTTCAAAATAAAGATTCTCATAAGTCATAAATTCACTTTAAAGACAATAAATTCAGGTTACCTGTTAGAATTATACTGATCTATAGCCTTAGAGGGTTTTTTTTGTTTTTGTTTTTTTTAAATCTGAACTGGTCAGGGGCCAGGCACAGATCTCTGTCAGGTTGATAGTGAACATTACATTTTGGGGTTCATCCGTCTCCATGTGTTTGAACATTTAATTCAAAGATGACGCTTCAGACTCATCAGTAGCACCTGTGCTTTAAGTTACTTTTATGACTAATCAACCAGAGGGTAATTGAAATCCTGCTATGTTAGGTGCCAGGGGGCAGGAAAAGATGTACAGGATATGGTCTCTGCTGTTATAATCTTACAGCATACTTGGGCAGACAGGACCCAGTTGCCTGCAACATCCCGTAGAATATCAAAATGCACTCACAGTACAGACCCTTAGAGGAGAATTTACATTTGAAAACATGACAATCATAATACACACACAGTAAGTGCACAATAAGTTAGAAAAGGGAGATTCTCATTCTTTGCTTGGAGATTGCATTACCCTGTTTATTTTCAGCCCTTATCTGAAAGTATGTGTTTATGCATTTATTTGGTCTCTTACTTACATGTTTGTCTGTCTCCTCACAAGAATGTTAAGTTTCGTGAAGAGCTCAGGTTCAGTATCAGGAGAACAACTTGTAAATGATAGTTATACGCTGCAGGATACGTGATATATGAAAGGGATGCTCTGTGTGCTACTGGGTCACAGGGGAGCCAGGGGCCGGCTTCAGAGTTCAGAGAGAACTTCGCAGAAGAGGTGACATTTGCCCTGTGTGAGAAAACCCAAGGGTCCATTTACAAAAGTGGACTGATGGGTCAGAAGGGGTGCGTATTTAACATTTTGTTAGATATCACTAAATTGCCACCTTTACTTGTGAAGAATGAGCGGGCGTTTATCTGGCACGTAAAGGTGTAACGAAGGGATGATATTCCTGGCACAGGGAACAGCATGTGCAAGTGATCATGCAGTTTTGTGGGATGCGTGGTGGGGAGTAAGCCAGACTGTAAAAGAATTTAGGGCCAGGTTAAGAATTAGGTGAGCTGAGGGCATCAGGGCAGATCTCTCGGTGGAAGTAATCCACAGCAGTCTTTAAAATCTCAATAGGATGCAAGGCAGAGATGAGTAGGGACATGAATCCATTTCTGTGAATGGTATCTGCCCTCCCTGCCCCCCTCTCTCCCTCCCTTCTTCCCTCATGTCCTGCCTGCCTGCCTTGCCTTCCTGCCTTCACACATTGACTGAGCACCAGTTCCATGCCAGGCGCTGTTCTGGGCACTGGAGAGAACAAGGTGAAGTCCTGCTCTCGTGATGCTTGCCTTCTAGTGGGGGAGACACACTGTCAACAAGAGAATGAAGGGAAGAAGGAAGGAAGGAAATTCAGGGGGTATGAGAACTGTGAGGGAAATAATTAAGTGAAGGAGAGTGCAGGGTGAGAGGGAGGTGGCCCCTGGCGACCTGGGAAGCAGATGCTGCACACCCACTTCCTGCCTAAGTCCTGCCCCTGCCCTGTTTGTTGCAGGTGTCACTGCCCACCCAGGGTGCTGGGATTTCTCTCCTCTCTGAACTCAACTTCTGGTTTCGTGGTACCTATCTCTTGCAACTTCTATTTTCACTCTTCCATCTCCCCTGTTTGATTGTAAGCTCCTTGAGGGCAGGGCTGAGTTTTTTCATGTTCGGATCCTACACTAGAGCACAGTGCCTAGAAGCACGTAACCCTGATTTAAAAAACAAAAAACAGAAAACTCCACTGTTGAAAAGTTAGGAAGTTTACATTTTCTGTTTTTTCTTTTCTCTTGTTTCTCAGGTTGTTTGCATGAAGCATGGTCACCGCTGCTGAGGAATCCTTTGGCTTGGGCTGAGTTGGTCCCTCCTGCGTCTTCAGTCCTTGCGGTGACATCCACGTTGTTCCACTCGTGATAAATGAAGGGCCTCTCGGGCTGTGCTCCTCGCCTCATAATGAGAATTACCAGCAGGCCTGGATGGATCCAAAGTAATGTGAGCCTGCTGTCCTGCAAATGTCTGTAATAATAAATGACAAGGAAGGCAGAGGTGTGATACATTCATTTCCTTATTATGAAATGTCCCTGTAGATTTTCAGTGCCCAAATTTAAACAAGAAAAGAAAGCAAGCTATCCTTTGGGGCCTTTGGTTGCATATCATGAAAGAGTGTCAGTTTGGAGTGAGACAATGACTTCTTTGGGATCAGAGGGCTTTCTAGAGATTACAGAGGTACCTCGTTTGGAGGTTTAATTGCAGACAGTTTCAATAAGGGTGATGCTAGGTTAAGCACGACCAGTTGATTTAAATGGGAAATGGATTATGATTAGAAATATGAGTTAGAGCCGCCCTGAAAACCTTCAGAAAATTACAACTGTAGGTCTTCATAGGAGAAGTTACCTTTTTCCAACTTGACAGTAAAGGCTCTGTAGTATCAGATTCTAGAAACAAGGAATGTCAGAACCGGAAAGAGCACTAGTGATCCTGCCTCTTCCTCCTGTAGATGTGAAAGTCAGATCCAGAGCCATAAAAGGATTTACTGAAGACCCAAGGCCAGGCAGTCGTTGAGGCATGCTTATAGATTAGGTCTTCTGACTTGTTTGCGTTTCCCTCTGTTCTTGATATGTGATGATGAAAGAGCTTGGTGGACTGTGAAGTCTCATGTGATCTACTGGCATCCCATCATCTCCGTGTGCTGCCTCCAGTCCTAATTTGACCTTCCTGGGCCTTAGCTTACTTGGTGACATTAGTTGATGTCCAAGTTCTCTTCTTTTCTAAAATTCCATTCCTTCATGGCTCTATTTTTAGAAAATAGAGGTAGTGGTTGAAAGAACCTTGGAATTCATCAAGAAACTCTTAAGTTTTGCCTCCACTGACCCTCCTCCTTCAGTCTCATCTCTTGCCGCATTGTGCCCATCCCATCCCCTGACCTACCAGTGCAGCTCCCCAAATGCCCCAGGATCAGAGCATCTGTGCGTGATGTGCCCCCTGCCATCTTTGCCCTGCTAAGTCCTATTTGTTCTTTAAGGCTCTGTTCGAGCATCAACTTCTCAGGAAGGCTTTCTTGTGTCCTCTTATAGGCTTCCCCAGCACCCAATGCCTCTTGCTACCATGGTTTATCACACTGTATGGTAACTATCTACCTAGATCTCACTCTATCTTTCCAGGCTGTGAACTCCTCAGCTCTGAATACCAGTGCCTGCACTGTGCCTGGAACGTAGGAGAGGCTCAGTAAATGTTTGTTTAATGCTGAGCGGTTTTCTCCAAGAGATGACCGGCAGTTCCATACTGATGGCTGTGTCTTGTCTTTTAATACTTTGACATCTGGGCATTGGCTGGTGTGCACCGCCAATTGGTGGCTTAGATGGAATAATGAAGGTGTTAAGATTCATCCCTTGGTGCCACTTTGCTGATGGAAGGAGCTCAAGGTGAATGATTTCTGAGCCTTCATCACAGGACAGCATGAAGCTAGTTGCTTGCCATCTAGCCAAACCCTATTTCAAGGTGGGAGCTCTGGAAAGAGATGTTGCAGACCCCAAAGAAAGTATAGCCTCTTCTGGGTTTACAAGACCTAGTGTACATCGGCAGCCTCTTTAGAGTTCTGGAGAGATGGGTGTAAGCCTTCTGCAGCTGGAGGATGGGAAGAGGTCAGCCGTTCTCTAAAATCCTCAGAGGTTTTCCTTTCTCAGTTTGCTGAGTGGTTTCTAATGTGTGTTAACTCAGGCTGCTGCTAATTGCTGCTGATTGCTGATGAATTGCTGGCAATAGCAAGCGACTGTCCTGGCAGCAGGAAAGGCTTGTCCCAAGATAACAGGAGTAGGGATAGAATGGTGTAGGTGGTGCTGAGCTGCCTACACCCAGGAGCCCAGAATGCCCAGGCAGCCCAACAAGCCACTTAGCAAGGGGAGCCAGGAGCAAAAGCTCTCTTGGGAGCCCAAGGCTACCAAGAGTGTGGAGACAGAGGGCATGATTCAGCAGGAGCTGGGACTCTGCTGTGTTAATGTTTATATTGAATGATGAATGGAAGTTGGCCACCAAGCTCGAGGAAAGTTGCTTCTCAACACCTCAGTGTGTCAGGATCCTTGAAGGAATCCAGGATAAAATAAGAGACATAATGCCAAATGGAAACAAGGGAACTGAAGATTCTGATAACGTGATCAGAATTAATGGAGGGTGTGTGCATGATATGTAACAGGAAAGTAGTTCCGGACTACTGAGATTACCTAACCATTGCTGGCCGCCTTCTCTCTCCAGCAGAGTTATAAGGGAGGCTCTGCCCTGTCACCCCTGCTTTTCCTTCTCCCAGGCCTGGGGTGGGGATGTGGGAAGAGGCACATTCATTTCTTGAGCTCACTCACTGTGTTGTAGTAGGCTTTAGGGATATAGCATGAAACTAGATGGAGTTTAAAGTGTTTTGGTCCTTCCTGATTTTTCTTTATTCCTCTGAAAATTTAATCCAGCTATTGACCCTGCCTGGATGCTATTTCTTCTTCTTTGGTTGGGGTGGTATGGCTGTGTGTGTGTGTGTGTGTGTGTGTGTGTGTGTGTGTGTCCCTGAGGCAGGTACTGATGTTCCAGCAGGGAGGCCAGGGCCAGGATCCTTTCTTGGTAACTTAGGGGTCAACAGCAGACATGAAGGGAAGGAAGCCTTGGCTCGGGGGGCCTTTAGATCAAAGGGGCCTCTGAGACTTGGTTGGGCTGGCTCCTCTTTGTTGGAGTGAAGTCTCCACAACAAGCATACTCCATCAGTGATTGCGTCAGTTGGGACTGTAGCAGGAAATACATGGTACGCTGAAATGGTCACTTGGAGAGAGTTTTTTTTGTTGTTGTTTTGTTTTGGGTTTTTTTTTTTTGCGGTACGTGGGCCTCTCACTGCTGTGGCCTCTCCCGTTGCGGAGCACAGGCTCCAGACGCACAGGCTCAGCGGCCATGGCTCACGGGCCCAGCCGCTCCCTGGCATGTGGGATCTTCCCGGACCAGGGCACGAACCCGTGTCCCCTGCATCGGCAGGCGGACTCTCAACCACTGCGCCACCAGGGAAGCCCCTGGAGAAAGTTTAATGAATGGATTTTTTCAGAGACATGGACGGGGCCAAGGAAATCAGCAAAGGATGAAGCACCCAGAGAGTAGCAACAGTGGACAGTGCCTTCTGATGATAATTGGCAATCCCATGGAGCTGCCACTTGGAAACTATATGTACCAGCTGAGGACTGAACATCTGACCATTGTGGTGCATCATTCCCTTATCACTGGAACATCTACAGGTATTATTAAACCCATTTTACAGATGAGGCATGTTAAGGAACGTACCCAATGCCACACCTCCAGTAAGTGAGGAAACAGATTTGAGTACAGATCTGTCTGAATCTAAATGTCATGTCTTTTCTGGTTGCAAGCATTATATCTCTCATTCAAGGCAGTAAGAGGTGAAGGCAGGGGTGGCGTCATCCTTACCTGTCCCTTTTATTATGAAAGCAAAAACTGCTGTGTCATCCCCAGAAGACTCCCACTTATTTCTTACTGGCCAGAATTGTGTTATATGACCCCACCCCTCCAGTTGCAAAGCAGGCTGGGAAGGCAAGTATTTGGCTTTTCCATCCTGTATAGTGGAAAGTGATGAGGGAGCAGGAGTTGAGAATGATTCTTAGGTCCACCAACTAATGACTGACTTCTTTCTAGAGTTTTTGTGACACAGTCTTTCTTTAGATAATTTGACACATTCCATCTGGTTTTGATCAATGAATGCAAGATTCTTCACTTTTTGGTTATTTAAGGTGACAGCACATTTCTGATCTATTATGTATTGGTTTCTCCTGTCTCTGGGTTTCTGGGAGGCACTTCACACGAAAGCCGGTGGGTGCTAACAATAGTGCCTATGGTACCAGGATTAGAGATCAGTGGAAAGCCCTAAACACACTCCCTGGCGCATAGCAGATATTTGGCAAATGGTCGCTATGATCATTATTCATCATTTCTGCCTTTGCACGATAGGGGAAGGTCTTAGAGGGAGGTGGCTGGCTATGCAGATGGTATTGACAAATAGAATTTGGATGTGCGAGCTGTGGTTTAAGACACCAGGATGATGCATTCCTGGCTAAGTGTGAAGAATGGACGGAGGGGCAGATTGCATTTGTTCAGAGGGTAGCTAACAGATGTAGAGCTTTACACTGAGCAGGGCCAGAGAAGAGAGAAAACCGTAGCCAGATAAATCGCTGAAATTGGTTCTACAGAGAATAGGAATTGTGAGTTAAAAGTGGGAAATTGTGATTTTGAGACAGTTGGGGAAGTGAACTGGAGATTGTAGTACTCTAGGCGTTGGGCTGACCTCGTTGTGTTGCAATCATGTCACGTTTACATTTGCTTTGCCTTGTCAACATAATCTGGAATAAGATAAGCACCATCCTAACCTTCCCAAAGGGGATGGAAGTAATTCCAGACCTAGAGATGGCATTCAGTCTAGATGATGGCTTAGATGAAAAAGAGATGTTCCCAGGCACCTGCCTGAGGAGTCTATGGAAAATTATAACAGTATCACTTACATCGCATTTATCGTGTGCCAGGCACTGCTCTAATTACTTTGCTTAGATGGTTTCATTTCATCTTCACCATAGCTGTGTGCAGTAGATACTTTTATCATCCCTGTTTTACATCTGAGGAAACTGAAAAACAGGGAGAGAAGTGACTTGACTAAACTCACGTGGCTCGTAGTGGTTTAAACCCAGCCAGCCTGCTCTGGAGGCCAGGCTGAGTCCGCATGTCAATATAGGTCAATTAGGTTGGCTTAAATGAATTTCCTTCTAAATGGAAGGAAATTTAACTTTCCTTAAATGAATTGCCTACAAAACTGGCAATCAGAGCAAAGTGGTGTAATGTGCACTTGCTTTTGAAATAAGTCAATTCTATTATAGAAGATGAAGAAATTTGTAAAATATAGGTGAAACATTTTAAGGTGTGTTAGATATAGGCAAGCAGTTAGTAAGTAGGACATATGTGTTAGACATAGATGGGAAGGCGTAAAGTGACCAAAAGATATCTGATATTCATGAGGTCCTGGGTATTAAATATTCAGTCATATAAATGTATATGGGATATATGAGATACTAAATATAAAAAAAGGCATAAAGTATTCAGGTTACTAAATGAGCATATAATATTAATGAGGTCCTAATTCACATAGCCATTCTAGCCCCATGTATCCTCTGCCCAAGAAACACACATAAACCCAGGGCTGGTCATCAGCTAACTGGTGAGCTATAGCTGTGGTCAGAGGTACTTGTCCCTTTGTTTCTCCAATGGAGCCAATGTGTGATGGGCCCAGGGCAACTTCCATCCTTGGGCCCCCTTGCTCAAATCTCAATTTTGATCTTTGTAACTATGGCATCAGTAGGAAAGACGTGTGTGTGTGTGTGTGTGTGTGTGTGTGTGTGTGTGTGTGTGTGTGTGTGAGAGAGAGAGAGAGAGAGAGAGAGAGAGAGAGAGAGAGAAGACAAATGAACACTGCTAACCCAGGATTCAAGCAGTGAGGTCCTTCCACCCTGGCTGCACCCTATCTTAAGTGTGTTAACTCATCCTGGTCTCTTTTCCCTTCTTTCTCACTATGTGTTACAAATGGATTTTCAACAAACCATCCTATGACCTCCTGGTAGTATTTTCGGCATTCTGGTAACCTGCAATGGCATCAGGATAATGCCCCACAGGACAGTGGTACACCCAGGCTGTTGGGACCTCAGCAAGACCCCTGATAATGGTACATGAGATCCTTGTGGGCAAATATAAGCTGGGAGGTACGACAAACAGAAGGACTCCTGCCTGCTGGTGGGGGCAACATTCTGGCACCAGGGCCCTAGGAAGAGGTTCCTGGTGATGCTGCATCTCTCTGGTCTGTTCTGGTGATTAGGTGAAGACATACAAGTTAATTTAATCAAATTTAAAGAGGTGACAAATATTTGAAGGTCTTCATGTTGGAGAAGGGTTTCATCTGTTCTGATTTTCTGAGTTGAGCTGTGGGCTATCAGTTCCACTTGGGGCCAGATGCTGGGATGTGATGGGGAGGGAGAGTGTGGGGACTGGCCGTAGAATGTAACGAGGGGCCCTTGAGTCCACAGAGCACCGAGTGAGGTGATGTGGGGAAGGATGAGAACAGAGCTCAGCCCCAAGAGTTGTGCGTGGAAGGAGGGAAGTAAGAAAACTGGTCGTAGGTGAGCGTACCACAGAGCAGAAGGTAAACAAAACCCAGGTGCCCCAGTAGAGGGGATCAGTGGTTTTCCTGGGGAATGTGAAGGAAGCTGCTAACCCCCAGCATCCTGGGAACCAAATCCGTCTAGTATCTAGGATCTGCTATGCCCATGTTAAGCCTGGCTCACTACATAACCATTGATAAGTATAGGAATTGTGGATACTTCAGGCTTGTTCCAGCAATCCTGCCCTCACACTCTTCCTAATTAGTTCCTATCTCGCTTCTTTCAAACTCTGAATCAGTGTGACATGAGCCTTTGAGGTGGGACTTTGGAACCCGGCTTTCTCTAAAGAAGTAGTTTTCAAAAATTTTTGACCTTGATCCACAGTAAAAATGAAGTATGTATACGTGAACATGCACACATATATGAAGCCAAAATAAGAGTTCCATGAAATTTACCCTTACCACATTTGAGGAGCTCTAATGCGGTCCATTCCATTTCACTTAAAAAAATGTTAGTCACAACACACTAAGTTGTTGTATATCCCACTAATGTATCATGACCCATAGTTGGAGAACATAGTGTTAGAAGGTTCAGGCTTGACTTTTGCTCTTTTGCTGTCAGGGCCTTGTGCTACCTTGGGAGCAACACTGCCCTTCCTGAGCCAATGGAACCCAATTCCGGACAACAACCAAATGCTTTAATTTCTTCCACAGAGATGGACCAGAAATGAATGGGCATTTACTGGGGAACCCAAAGACGTATTATGACCTAAATAATTTGCATATATTTCTTCATGTAATTCTCACAGTCATCCTATCCATTTGATATTTTCATTCTCCTTTCACAAACGAAGCAAATGAGATCAAAGAAGTTGTGTGATTCATCAGTGGTCACAAAGGTAATAAGTGGGATAATTGGCACTTGAACCAAAGACTGTTTGACTGCAGCTTCAGGACCAGGTA